AGAAAGGGGTGTCAATTGCATTTAGGGACCAGTTGATCGAATCCATAATTCCTCCTTTAGGTTTTAGAGAACAGACTGTGAGAGAGTGTTCCAGGGAAAATACAAAAAACCACGAGACTAGACAAGGACATCAGCAGGGAAGATAAGGGAGAGGAGAAAAGTGTGTCCGCCTCCTCCGAGAGCCAAAGAAGGAAAGTACTTGGCTTGATGCTACTTTGAATTGGAGCAGTACTGTTACTGATGACGTATCACAAGTACACACAAGTACACGCAAGTACACACAAGTACACACAAGTACACGCAAGTACACATAAGTACACACAAGTACACACAAGTACGCGTGAGTACACACAAGTACACGCAAGTACACGCGAGTACACACAAGTACACACAAGTACACATAAGTACACACAAGTACACGAGAACACGAGTACACACAAGTACACGTAAGTACACGCGAGTACACGTGAGTACACGTGAGTACACACAAGTACACGCAAGTACACGCAAGTACGCGCGAGTACACACAAGTACACGCAAGTACCCGCAAGTACACACAAGTACACACAAGTACACGCAAGTACACACGAGTACACATATTGAGAAACAGCACGGTCTCCTAATCCATCTGTGAGCTGTGATTGGCCTGCAATGATCCTGATGGTTGGTCCTGCTCACTGTGTGTAAAGACCTGTGATCATGTGACCCTTGTACCTGTGTGACCTTTGACCTTGACCCTGTTTAAACTCCGAGTGTGTGTTTTCAGAGTACAGTCGCTTCGAGGCAAAGATCCACGACCTGAGGGAGCAGATGATGAACAGCTCGTCCGGCAGTCTGAGGAACAGCCGCACCTTCTACATCAGGTAACCTGAGCTCACCTGTGACACACTGAGACACCTGGACCAGGTCTCCTCAGGGCAGCACGCCCGGCCTCTTTCATCTGTTCCTACTGTGAATGAGTCAGAATGACCTCACAGTCATGACGCCTGTGAACAGGTGGGCTTTACTCCATCATGTGTCACTCAGCTGTAACCATCAACCATCTAGATTCAGAGATGGATGCATCCAGCAGATTATTCCTTTACCAACAAATCTAAAACATGAGCACATCAGGAGCACCTCAGGTTCAGGATGGGTTTGAACGCAGGCTGGAGCTGCCAGGGATCGAACCAACAACCTCAGAGGACGAGCCGCTCTGCCTCCTGAAACACAGACACCACGTTTATGAGTGTGAGAGGTTTATCCTCAGTAAGACACATTTGTCTCTCTACACAGCAGAGACCAGACGGACATCCACAGAACAGATCGGTAGAATACAGTAAAACAATAGAAACAGTTATAAACAACTGCAGAATTGTAAGGTCTGTAATAGGAGTGGCTGTAGCTCAGGCGGTAGACCAGGTCATCTACTGATCGCAAGGTTGGTGGTTCGATTCCTGGCTTCCCCTGGTCTGCGTGCCAAACATCCTTGAGCGAGATATTAATGTTCACCGATGCATCCATCAGAGTGTGTGTGAATGTGAGCTAGAAAGGAAATGTGCTTGGGTGAATGCACACGTTGCATAAAGCGCTGTGAGTGAGTAGAAAAGCGCTGTATGAGCTGTAATAAGCCATGTATGTATTTATACAGTTTAGAATTCATAACATTTAGTTAGTGTGTGTGTACATGTTTATATATCTTTGTGAGGACCAAAATTTAAATACTACTATACTTGTGGGGACCAACAGCCATCATGGGGACTATGAAGACATGTTTGAGACTCACAATGTGGTTTTAGGGTCCCAGTTATGGGGACGCTTTCATTTTTGATGGTTAGGGTAAGAAATATGTCAATTGATGTCCTCACTAAGATATGAAAACAGGACTGTGTGTGTCTGTGTTTGTCGGTCCGAAGAGTGTGTGAAGAACACACAGAGAACTCCTGGAACAACTTCTGACTCCAGATCAGCTAAATTTAAATGACTCCCAGTCAGCTGACAGTCTGAGGCGGTCACATGACCTCCTGAGGTCCTCAGAGGCGATGAGCGGCGTTCTCCATGGCGTGCTGTGTGTGTTACAGGGCGCTCTTCGACTACGATAAGCAGTGGGACTGCGGCGTGCTGTCTCAGGCGCTGGACTTTAACTTTGGCGAGGTCTTCCACGTGATCGACAGCGCCGACGAGGAGTGGTGGCAGGCACGCAGGGTCAACCAGCAGGGGGAGCTGGAGGAGCTGGGCTACGTCCCCTCCAAGCACAGGTCAGTGAATGCTGCACACACACACACACACACACAGGTCAGTGAATGCTGCACACACACACACACACACACACAGGTAAGTGAATGCTGCACACACACACACACACACACACACAGGTCAGTGAATGCTGCACACATACACACACGGGTCAGTGAATGCTGCACACACACACACACAGGTCAGTGAATGCTGCACACACACACACACACACACAGGTCAGTGAATGCTGCACACACACACACACACACACGGGTCAGTGAATGCTGCACACACACACACACACACACACACACACACAGGTCAGTGAATGCTGCACACACACACACACAGGTCAGTGAATGCTGCACACACACACACACACACAGGTCAGCGAATGCTGCACACACACACACACATACACAGGTCAGTGAATGCTGCACACACACACACACACACGCACACACACACACACACACACACACAGGTCAGTGAATGCTGCACACACACACACACACACACACACAGGTCAGTGAATGCTGCACACACACACACACACACACACACAGGTCAGTGAATGCTGCACACACACACACAGGTCAGTGAATGCTGCACACACACACACACACACACACAGGTCAGTGAATGCTGCACACACACACACACACACAGGTCAGTGAATGCTGCACACACACACACACGGGTCAGTGAATGCTGCACACACACACACACACAGAGGTCAGTGAATGCTGCACACACACACACACACACAGGTCAGTGAATGCTGCACACACACACTGACTGCCACCTCAGGGTGCTTTATACTGTAAGATAAAGACAATAATACACAATGAATCCAGTGTGTGTGTGTGTGTGTTTCAGAGTGGAGAGGAAGGAGTGGTCACGGATGAAGAGCAAAGGTAAAATAATAACACACACACACAGGAGGAGGAGGAGGCGTGGTTATTCATCAGTGACTCCTCCACACACACTCCTGTGATGATAGTTTGACCTCCTGATGATCAGTGAGGAGGAGCCTGAGAGCTCAGGAAGAGGTCAGAGGTCATTCATCGAAGCTCCATGTTCAGTGTGAGGAAGTTAAATAAAACCTGCAGCCTGTGCTGAAGATACAGGAAGTGGAAGTATCTACTTCCTGTTTTCTCCTCTGCGAGGATCCAGAGGAAGTCACTCAGACTCAGAAACACAAAAACACAGAGACGTCCATCAGCTCTGACCTCATCACAGCATCACAGGAACCTTCAGACTGACAACAGGAAGTGACCTCTGACCTCTCTCACTTCTAACCACGTGACTCAGTCAAACTGAGGGTTCATGTAACCTCAGACCCTCCTCATCATCATGTCCCCGTCATGGGTCAGATCTTCGTATGATGTCACTTCCTGTGTTTTCAGGTGTTTCTTCTTCTTGCAGGTAGAGAAGGCTTCGTTCACAGCTACGAGCTCATCACTCAGATTGAAGGTCAGTGTCACCAGTAACCTTTGACCCCAGACTCTAAATCAAACTGTTCCCGCCTCTGACTGTGGGTCACATGACCTCTGTGTGTGTGTTCAGTGGACTATGCCCGCCCCATCATCATCCTGGGACCCACCAAAGACCGCGTCAACGACGACCTGCTGTCCGAGTTCCCCGACAAGTTCGGCTCCTGCGTTCCCCGTAAGGCTCCGCCTACAGGTGGTCGAACAGGAACTGAACAGACAGGTTTCTAATGTGTGCCTCGCTCTCTCTCACAGATACGACTCGCCCTCGCAGGGACTACGAGGTGGATGGGCGGGACTACCACTTTGTGGCGTCACGGGAACAGATGGAGCGGGACATCCAGTCGCACCGCTTCATCGAGGCGGGGCAGTACAACAACCACCTGTACGGGACGTCGGTGCAGAGTGTGCGACAGGTGGCCGAGCAGGTGACAGTCCGCACTTTCCCACAGTGGCCGTTTCCACTCCCACAGTGGCAGTATTGTGACGGTGTGTGTGTGTGTTCAGGGGAAGCACTGCATCCTGGATGTGTCGGCCAACGCCGTGAGGAGGCTGCAGGCGGCACAGCTCCACCCCATCGCTATCTTCATCCGACCGCGGTCGCTGGAGAACATCCTGTGAGTCTAACACGTCACGTCATGAGGTCAGATCAAACTGCTCTCTGACTCCGCCCATAAAGGTCAAATCAGACCAACCTCCCAGATCCAGTAACAGACAGAGGTCTGCAACAGCAGAGATGAGATTCTGACATCTGCCACCTGGTGATAGACGAGTTGTGCCTCATCCACAGACTCTAGTGTGGGTGCCCAGCTGGGCCCCCACGGGAGACCCTACCAGGGACAAAAAGCCCCCAACACCACAGGTTGCGAATCAGGGAGGTTCTTAATTTTTGATTCTTAAAGTAAATTAAAGTTCAAACATGAAAATCTCAAATGTCATTCAATTACATTCTTTAAAAGAAAATTAATTAAAATTTTAAATAAATTTTTTTTTTAAAGATTTGATTCAAAGTGTTGTTGTTTTGTGGGCGGAGCCACAGAGCATTTCATGTCGCTGTGAGAATTAACATGTGTGACATTGGTGCAGGGACTTGAACAAGCGCCTGTCGGAGGAGCAGGCGAGGAAAGCTCTGGATCGAGCCATCAAGCTGGAGCAGGACTTCCTGGAGTGCTTCACAGGTAAAACATTAAATAAAGTTCACGAGCGTTCACGTGTGAAACGTACGTGCGTCTCGGGGTTTGATGCCATCTTTGCCTGTCTTCCAGCCATCGTGCACGGCGACAGCTTCGAGGAAGTCTACCACCACGTCAAAGTGGTCATCGAGGAGCAGAGCGGACCCTACATCTGGGTCCCCGCACGCGACAGGCTCTGATTGGCCGACTGTCTTCACGGGAACTGCTGTTAACGTCACGCCCAGGCTCCTCCCTCCCTCCAGCGGGTTTTTGTTTTCTTCTCTGGGAGGGTGACGGGCGCACGCACTGATGGATCAGGATGTTTTTAATCTGAGAGGAGGACAGACTCACACTGATTGGTTTATTATCAGTACATGATGAATCAGAGCCTGTAGACCTGGTACTGAAGTATTTATATCATGCTATTTATTTATTTATCTATTTATTTATTGGTTTGTGTGATGTGAAGATGGTGTGTGTGTGTGTGTGTGAGTGTGCACGTGTTGGTGTGTAGTGTACATACAGACTTGTGTGACTGTAAATAAACGATGGGGCTCAAACACACAGTCTATTTCAGGGCTTAAAGTAACAAACAACCACTGGACTACAACACCCACAATCCTGCTCTGCCTGCACCTCTACACCCCCACGCCCTCCCTTTCCACACTTCATCTGCTACTGTCCTCCTCTGCCTGGACTAGAACTCCTCAAAGCACCCTTTGTTTGGACTACAACTCCTCAAACCGCACTGTGTTTGGACTACAACACCCACAATCCTCCTCTGCCTGGACTACAACTCCTCAAAGCACCCTTTGTTTGGACTACAACTTCTCAAACCGCACTGTGTTTGGACTACAACTCCTCAAAGCACCCTTTGTTTGGACTACAACTCCTCAAACCACCCTTTGTTTGGACTACAACTCCTCAAAGCACCCTTTGTTTGGACTACAACTCCTCAAACCGCACTGTGTTTGGACTAGAACTCCTCAAAGCACCCTTTGTTTGGACTACAACTCCTCAAACCGCACTGTGTTTGGACTACAACTCCTAAAACCACCCTTTGTTTGGACTACAACTCCTCAAACCGCACTGTGTTTGGACTACAACTCCCTGTCTTTCCCCCTGCTTCCACTAAAGCACCCACAATCCTCCTTGGTTTTGACTGCAACAACTTTATGCTGGACTACATGACCCACAATCCTCTGTCTTGACCTAAACGCACACAATCCTTCTTGGCTGAACACTGAACTGCCCTCATATGGACTACAGCTCCCATAATCCCCTCCTGATGGACAGTTTGGAGTGAAACACTTCCATTTTTAAGCAAAAACGTCTGGACTGCAGCACCAACACTTCCCAGTTGTGGTGATGGATAAACTCCACCCACAAATGTCTACAGCACAGAAGGACTACATTACCCACAAGTCTCAGCTGATCCAGGCCACACATGCTGCCTGTGGGTCTGTGCTTGACTACAATACCCATGATTCCCTGCTCAGATGGCAGGGTGGAGACTGTGAAATTACCCTGCTGAGGGGAAGGCGGAGCTAAAGCTTGAGGTTGGGGTAGCATCAGGGGGCGGGGCATGTGTCCCGCTCACAGGACTCTGTTACCCACAGTGCTTTGGGTGTAGATGGGTTCCAGCGGGGTTTCCCAGACTGAATATCAGGGTCGTGTGAATAATAATAATTATTATAATGAAAGTAATCCTACTTATAGATGATGTAATATCATCACACACACGTGCACTCAGCGGGGTCACCTGAGGTCACGTTAGTTTGTGAGCACTGACAGAAACACTGATGTATCATTAAATCTGAGTATTGATTAGCCTGCCTCACACACACACACACACACACACACAAACTCACACACACACACACACACACTCATTTATGCACACACACTCACACACACTCACACACTCACACACACACGCACACACACACACACACACACACACAAACTCGCACACACACAAACTCACACACACACACACAAACTCACACACATACACACACACACACACACACACACACACAAACTCACACACACACACTCATTTATGCACACACACTCACACACACTCACACACACACTCACACTCATTTATGCACACACACTCACACACACTCACACACACACTCACTCACACTCACACACACTCACACTCTCACACACACACTCACACTCACACACACACTCACACTCATTTATGCACACACACTCACACACTCACACACACACTCACACACACACGCACACACTCACACACACACACACTCACACACGCACACACTCACACACACTCACACACTCACACACACACTCACACACACACTCACACACGCACACACTCACACACACTCACACACTCACACACACACTCACACACACACTCACACACACTCACACACGCACACACACACTCATTTATGCACACACTCACACACACACACACTCACACACACACTCATTTATGCACACACTCACACACACACTCACACACACACTCACACACACACACACACACTCATTTATGCACACACTCACACACACACACACACAAACTCACACACACACACACACACTCTCACACACACACTCACACACACACGCACACACACACACTCTCACACACGCACACACACACACACACTCTCACACACACACTCATTTCTGCACACACACACACTCACACTCATTTATGCACACACGCACACACACACTCACACACGCACACACACACACACACACTCATTTATGCACACACACACTCTCACACACACACACACACACTCTCACACACACACACACACACACACACACTCATTTATGCACACACACACAAACTCACACACACACACAAACTCACACACACACTCATTTATGCACACACGCACACACACACACGCACACACACGCACACACACACACACGCACACACGCACACACACACACACACACACTCATTTATGCACACACACTGTCTCACAGACACACACTCACATTCACACACACACACACACACACACTCACACTCATTTATGCACACGCACACACGGACACACACACACTCTCACACACACTCACTCACACTCACACAGAGTTGAGATAGTTTGATGAGCGGCTCGTTGTATAATGACATGAATTAGTTATAAATGAAACTCTTGAAATATTGAAATAAATTCCTTATAAAAGCTGACTGAGTCTCCTCCATGTTGGATCCTGCGTGTTCGTGCACAGCTGACTGCTGACTCCGCCCATCAGCTGAAAATCCTGACAAACATAAATTTATTATTGATTATATGACCAAGGTGGTGTCATAGATGGAGCTGAGGACCTGCACGTTTAACCACAGGTGATAAATATGAGTGAACACGCCTCACATGAAACCTGTTCAGCAGACCAACAATCTGCAGGTCATCTATGAATCTAATCACAGGTCATTTTCTGCTACAGAAATGATCCCTATTAGTGCCAACTGTATGTATGCTGAACTAGTGAGGTTACAAAGTAGGGTGGGTGCAAAGAGGATTTAAAGATTTCTTCATTCATTTGAATGGAAATAAAAAGTAATAACAAGTTTAATATTTTAAAAAGTTTAAAAGCTACAGAATGAACAGTAATAGTGGTGTAGTCTTAAAAAGCTGCAAGTTTGGATACCAGAACAGTTTCTGGAGAACAAAGTGTGCAGGAGAAACGCCAGTGTGAATGCTGACAGACAAACAGACTGGTTCTTCTATCAATCTGAGCACTCAAACCACTACAACTAAGGAGCTTGGAAAGAAAAGCGTCTGGACTTCTCTAAGTTGCTTGGAGATGTTTCACCTCTCATCTGAGAAGCTGTTTGCCACAGCTGTCCTGGTGCACACTTTTTTTCTTAGGCCTGCATAAAAGTTAGGCGAGAGAGACAAAACCTGCATCTCAGAATCTAGCGCACACAAACACAAAGCACAGACCCGACGCATCAGAAACAGCGAGCTGTCGGCTTTCAGCCCCGACGGCGTGTCCGTGTGCGGGCTGTTGAGTGAGAAAGCCGAGAAAGAGAAAGCTGATTCTGATGCGTCGGGTCGCTCTGTGTTTACGTCTTTGTGTGGAGTCCGTGTACCTGCTCTCATTTGCTGTTTGGTGGTTGTTGAAATAGTTTTTGAGCTTTATTGCTTCATTCAAGCTACTCACCTCTCTCTATCCACCTGTACTTTCAACTGGACCACGGCCAATCAGAGAGGTCCCGCCCCTGACTATCTCTGATTGGTTTCAACTATGATAGGGCCATAATGTGTGTCTGTTGTTGACCACACGGAGACTTTTTTTTTGCAGAGACCAAACAATTGGTCGCACTGTGCGACCTGGGATTTATGACCAAATTGGTCGCACTCTAGAGCCCTGCTCCAAGAGGGACAGTGGACCCCCTATTGATCCTCTTCCTAATCAAATGAGCCAAGGTGTGAAGACGGGTGTGGGTCACAGTCAGCCAGGGTTTAAGGTGAGCTCATTGTGAAACCTAGCTCCACTCTATCATATGATTTCCTGAGGTCAGAGGGCCCAGGATGTGAGTGGGTGTTAAGGCGTCTGGGGAGGGAACTCAAAACTGGATTATAGATGGCAGACAGTTGGTGTTGTAAACCACCGCCTCTGTTCAAAGATGGTCGCTCACAGTAGACATAGATGGCTTCTTTTTTTTCCTTCCAAGCTCCTTAGACCCTTACGATGTAACTCCAGCCCAGCCCAGCAGCAGTATATTAATAACTAACCTCGTATTGTGGATGGATTATCTCAGTTGTTCTCCTGACTGAAGTTTGGTCCGTTTACAGCATCCTGCCATGTGATTGCATTTGTCCCTGACCATCAGGAACCCTCATGTTAACTTTTATTAAGTCCTCAGTTCGTTAGCGATCACACAGCACATAATTATATACCAGGCAGCCCAACTTCAGTAACCCTACAAACGTCACTGCTGTTTACTCTCCTGTCCTTATTTATGTTGAGATTGATAGCAGAGCTGTACGTTTTATTTTGTTTCTTAAATCTCTCAACCTGCTGAAATTCTCTGCCAACACAGAGGAGATTCTCAGGAGGAAAGCATCATGACCTTCTCCATCACCTGCTGGTTCCACTCCCTCAGCCTTCATACAGGAACAGACTGCAGCACACTGCATCAGTGTGCTCTAAAATCATCGGCCTGCCTGTCAGAACTCTGGCACAGGTTTTCAGCCCACAGGCCCTTAGACAGGCCCGTTTTGAAACAAACGAAACACAAAGAGCCAGAAACCAAAACGGCAAACACAGGAGCCCAGAAAACAACTCAAAGAAAACCGACCAAACCAAAAAGGGTCACAAAAGGTACAGGCGGCCAGTAAAACAGTTCCGAAAAAAGTTCAGGGGGCCGGCCTGGAGGTTGACAGCACAAAAGTCCAAACCCGGGCAGTTCAGGAGGCCGACCCTGTGAAAAGTAATGGCAAGCGAAGTCGGTCTGGAGGCAGGCCTCGCAGAGGGCAGCGGTGGCGATGCAGGCGAAGGAGGTTGATACGATAAATAAAACGATATTTATCGTATTACATTATGTATCGATAAAACGATACATAATGTAATAAACTCAAAACTCCGGGTCAACGACTCAGGCATCCTAACAGTTTTAAACACTTCAGTGTTAATCGTTTTGTTTCAGTTGTTTGAACAAAGTCACTGTGTGAATATGTCAGCTGACATTCGTTGTTGTATACAAACTGATATCCTGTGATTTATGCTTTAATCCTGTGATACAGTCAGTGTTGTTGGATAAACCCCGGCCTCTTAATCAAATGTTCACGCCTGGTTTCATTGATATCATATCCACCCAGAAATCTGGACTTCACCATTTTGCCCTGACATCATTATCTGAACATTAAAACTGCAGCAAAGTTAAAATGAATCATGAAAGGACTTTGTTGGCTTCTTTAAAAGTACAGAATATTAATTTTAAATATATGTTTACGTGTTTAACTTTGACCAAATTGTTATCAACTGATTATGAGTAATTTTTTATATTCAGTATAAATCTAATTGTGTGGTGGGTCACAAATTTACTTATTAGGTAAAAATCATACTCAGTCTTTTTTATTTTTATGACTTGTTATCTTATGTGCAGCACTTTGTGATTCTATCTAGAAAGGTGCTATATAATTAAAATTTAATTAATTAATTAACTAATTTATTTATTTTTATCGGTGGCACAGTGGTTAGCACTGTTGCCGCACAGCAAGAAGGTCCTGAGTTCAATTCCACCATCAGGCCGGGGTCTTTCTGTGTGGAGTCTGCATGTTCTCCCCGTGTTTGTGGGTTCTCTCCGGGTACTCCGGCTTCCTCCCACCGTCCAAAGACATGCAGCTTGTGGGGATAGGTTAATCGGATAATCCAAATTGTCACTAGGTGTGAATGTGCGAGTGAATGTGAGTGCAAATGGTTGTCTGTCCCTGTGTCCCTGCCTCTCGCCCTATGACAGCTGGGATAGGCTCCAGCGCCTCACTGCGACCCTGAAAAGCAGAAGCGAATGGATGGATGGATGGATAATTTATTTATTTACTTAAACTGGTTAAAACTGGTCTACAGACTGGTTTCTGTGACAATAATTCAATCCTAAGGTTGTTAGGTAAGCCCTGTTGATATTGATCCTGTTTTTCCTCCTCTTCAGTGGGTCACGTCTTAAAAGATAACATCATGTTGTATTAAATAAGATGCTGAAATATATAAACCACAAACTGGTCACGGAGCAAATCATCAGCAGTGTCGCTGTCTGCTTTACAATCTGAGTCGCCTCCTGCTCGCTGTTAGAAATATGACTTCATATGTAAATGTGTGAAAGTGAGAAAAAATAAATCACAACATATATTTAATTGCACATGCATTAATTACCTGGACACACAAAAAATCCCAGATTTAGAAGGATTTTAATTGATTAAGATTTTGAGCAAACAACAGAAATGAGTGAATGTGTGATAACAACATGTTAACATTTCACTCAGAATTATTTAAGAAGGCTTTGTTCTCTTAATGACAATCAGCTGTTAAACAGTAAGGCAAATACAGACAGATGTGTAGAGAAAATAATCACATAAAAATAATAACTGTGCTAATAAGAAAACCCTCCTGATGTCAATAAATACGGTGGAATCAAAGGTTCCTAAAGTTATAAAGTAACATGTCGGGTAAAGTTCTTCATGTTTGAACTTGAGTAAATGTGTTGATCTAGTTTCCAACAGTTGCAGCAAACACATGGAGCAACACAATGAGAACACACAGTGAGGTGAAGTGAGTGAAGTGGATCAGGTTTTCACCACTGCAATACACACCCACACATGTCGGGGAAGTGGTAGGAGCAGTGGGAGGAGCGGTGGTTTGTAATGAACTGTGTGGGGAGGGGAAGGTAACTGTGTCGCTGATCCATTTCTGGTACTGGGACACAGCAGTGTAGACTGAAGGAGACTCAGAGGTTGAAGGACGTGCAGAGCATCCAACAACAATGAGAAGTCCACTCTGCAGCCAGACTGATCCACTCTGAGTCATCAGTGGTGCCCCAAGACTAAGCTGTGGAAAGACCGTGATAAAGTTATCAGGACAGATGTGTAACTGTTAGAGGTCGACCTTTGTCACCCACTAAAGTTTGAACTTTGTTGGTAGTTTTGTTACAAACTGCTTAAATAAATTAAGTAATAAATAAATTGATCGTCCCAGTATAACACAGTCAGTAACACTTCATGGATATCAGTCTGTCCACTTAGGAAACATGAACCACTGTCATGTTTCCTAACTGGCACCAGTTTTTCACAGGATGTTGCAGGAAATCAAAGAAAATGGTAGACTACCACCAAATATGAACTCTGCAAATATCAGTCTCTTACAAAAACCAGGCAAAGACCCTGTATTTCCTTCAAGCTATCGTCCAATATCCCTTATTAATGTAGACCTTAAAATAATCTATAAAATAATAATCAGAAATCCCAGTTTGCAATTAATACAATACAAAATATTACACAGAGTGCACTATACTGGTCATAGGATGTTCAAGATGCGCTATACACCTTCCAACAACTGCTCACACTGCACAGCAAATACACCGGACAATTACATCCACGCTCTTTGGTTCTGTCCACCAGTTCAGAAATTCTGGCGTGAGATATGTGAAGACTTATCAAAGTGTCAAATGTAACATTCCAGCCTCCCCTTTAGTGTGCTTGCTGGGCAACTTGGATGAGGTCACAGCAGAAATAAACACAGCCCACGTTGTTTTTACGGCCCTATGCATTGCCAAGAAAATGGTCCTCATTAACTGGAAAAAAAAAATAATCTTAATTCTAACCAATATAGAAACCATCTAATAGATCACATTAGTCTTGATACAGCATCTGCCATCACATTTGATCAATCCCTTTGGGCTCCTTTGATCGGCTTCATCACCTAGTGGGGGTGGGGGTCATGGTTTGGTCCTGCCTTCGCTATTGTGGTTGATATGGGGGTAGGGACGGCCTTAGGGCGTCTGGGGAGTCCCTAGGGACGTTTCCCTAGAGGGCCTAACCTGGGGGATGTGGCCATGACCTGGTTAGGAGCTCTGGGGCTCTTGGATGGTGTTTTCCTTGTGACTGCGTACAGCGGAGATGGGGGAGGGTCTGTGCTGACGGACGTTGGTTACTGGCCTGGTAGCCTGGCTCCCTGGGAGGGTCCGGGACGGGCGTGGAGGCTTGGGGTCTGGGGGTGCTCCGCCCCCCGGTCTGGGGTGCTGGCTGAGCCCTGGGGGCTTGGGTCCTGGCTGTTGTGTTGCCGGAGCTGTGGGCGGCTGGGTGCCGGGGGGCTCAGCCCCAGTGCAGGGGACCTCTGGTGCATCGGCCCTACTAGGGGGCTCTCTAACTGGTGGGGAGGTTGTTATATCTTTGCAGGTGGTCTCCTCACTACAGGAGCTCACTCTGCAGGTGGGGGAGAGATATAGAAGAGGTGGAGAATGAACTCAACCTGGGTGTCTATTGTCTTGTGTAGTTTGGGAGATGATTGGATGATGGGGTGGGTGCAGTTTTCTCTGGGGTGGAGTCAGGTGGGCTACCCCGGACTCTGTGGGGCTGGGCGGTGCTGCTGCTGCGGGCCCCAGTCCGGATGGGCCTGGGCCCCCTTGCCCTGGTGGGTTCCAGAGTGTGGGGGTGCCTACTGGGGTCAGCTGGGAGCTGGCCCCAGGGAGGGGCCGCTTGCCCCTCCCTTTCTTTCCTCCCCATCCTCAGCTGCCTCCCTATTCCCGCCCTACCACACCCACCCACACACTCAGGGCTTGGGGTGCAGGTATGTCACCAGGGTGCAGGGGAGGCACTCCCCCTCTGTCCCCTTCTGGCCGCCTGTGCCTCAATTTTATTCTGCAACCTAGACATCCACATTACTCACACTCTCACATAACACATACATATAGGGCCTTGGGGGTGGGCACGTTTTACAGCATCCAGAGGATGGTCGGTGTACTCCAATCGACCTCTGGCGCTGGTGCCCTACCCTCAATTTTAAATGCATTTAGACACTAAGGGTTTTCGGGAAGAGCCGTGCTGCTGTCTGAGAGGAAGCTAGTACCATGTTCTCCTGAGTTTTAAATGCACTTTAGAACAGCACACAGCAACACTACATATGAGCGGGCGTAGGGAGGTTTTAGGTCTTCACTCACCCCGGTTCTGTTAGCCGTCCGGGCTGGGGAGCTGGGAGGAGGTGCTGGCCGTCAGACTGGGGTCTGGGATGCGGGGCCTCCCCGCTACTGCAGATAAGGAGGTGGTCTGCTTGCCTCCACCCCAGAGAGAAGGGTTACATCTCCTGGGTCTAGGTGCAGCTTGCCCCTCTGAGGGCGGGGTACCTGGACCTGGGATATAGAGTATGTTTGGGGAGTGCGACTGTCTGTGCAGTGTCTCTTTGTGTCTGTCTACACGTTGGGTGAGTGCCGAGTAATTGGTGGTGCATATTGGGGTGAGAATGCACGTTTGGGTCAACATGTGCCTGTTCATCTGTGTCTATATGTCAGGTTGGGTCTTAGACTCCACCTCTCTGGGTCCATCTCAGGCCCTCTAAAGTACGGAGGCCTATCTCCCCTCACCACACTCCCTGCCGGTGGTTGATGCCCTCAGACGTTGGTGTGTTTGTGGTCCTTGTCGACTGGGGCTGGGCACTCATGTATGTACCGGCTCACTCCTGGTGGCCGATTGGCGGGCCTGGTGCCTGTGGCCCAGCTGGGCCCCTCCCGGGTGGTGGGATGCCCTCAGGCCTCTGGGCCTGAAGCTCGGTCCTCTCTGGCACAGCTGGCTGCCGGCAGAGCCCGCGGGCACGCCACTGCAACCCCCTCTGGCCTCTGCTCCGTAGCTGCGGGGTGACCTCTCCTTTGGGGCTCTACTCAGCTCTTCCCAGGAGGGTGGCACGGTTCCACCCCTTTGGTGGTCCTCCTCGGGTCCTTGTACTCTGGGCCTCTGGATATCTGGGGCCTGGACCTCCTCCATACCTGCTTCATGCCCTGGGGGACGGGGCTATGGCTCCCCACACTCCCTAGCAGATCATTACATGGAGAAACCTTTGGAATGCAAGCATGCTGATCCACACAGGTGTGCACACAGGTGTACACACGGGTGTTCACAGACACGGACTACACCTTTCTTGGCTGCTGCCTCAAAGCACATTGTGCGCTGTCTATCTTGCGTGCTGCACAATAGCGTTTAATATTTAGTATCTACTGTTGTTACGTCCCCTCTTAAATGCTAGGCGATGAGGGTGGGGGACAGTAACAGTTAGATCCAGGTGGAATGAAAAGAACGCCAGGCAGAGGTATTTAATATAAAATAGATCTTTATTATAACAAAACACCTCAATAATTATAAATGGCAACAACACAAGGAGACAGCACCGCTGCTTTAACGAGAAATCAGGGAGGTCAACCCAAAGTGGTAATGACCACTCAACAAAGAACGCAACAATAAGGCTTCGACAGAAAGAGACAGCAACGCTGCTAACAAACAATATCCAGACAGGCCACACAAACTAATGAAGGCCGCCGTCACTCATGGGCAATCACTGCTCAGTTAAGCACTACTCACACACCAGAGCCACACACCAGAGGGCTGGTCACACGCAGCAGGCTGTTCCACACCTAAGTCAGTAGCACACTCTGACCAGCACAGAGGAAAACCACCAGAAACCTCTCCCCCTCCTCCTCCACACTGCTCTTCTCCAGCTTATATCACCCCTGAGGGTAATTGGTTGTAACGAGAGCAGATGAGCAGCAGGTGTGACCTAAAGGAGAGGGCAGGGGCAGAGAGAGACAAGGGGAGGGGCCAGAACAAAGGAGGAGGAGAGGGAGAAGACAACACCATGCCCACACACTCCCACAGCCTCCCAGGATGTAACATTCCCCCCCACCCTAAATCCACACTATACAAAACACAGAAGAAACTTATCACTATGCACTGCGTGAGAGTGCATCAACCACCAGATTTGGGCGTAAGTAAACATGGAGAGCTCCAAGGGCTGTGACTCTGTGTCGCCAAACCATTCTCCACTAGATAATTGACCTCCTTCCTCATCACCTCGCGCTTTCCCATAGGGCAGCGGTACGCGTGCTGTTTGATTGGGGTTGCGTCACCAACATCGATATCATGTTCACAAACATTAGTACGCGAGGGCACATCACCAAAGAGAGAGGGGTAGGAGTGCAATAGATTAAGCACATCTTCGCATTGTGAAGGGGACAGATGAGACAAGTGGGCCGTTATTTTGGCTAAGTAAGCTGAATTCGCCAACCGTCCACACTGTTGTCCCTCAGAAAGTATATGCAGATCGTCGTCAGCACTGGCCTCTACACTCAGCACGGTGGCGGAGACAGAGTTGGAGGTTGCCGCACTGGCAACAGTCTCATGGGTTTCCCTATCATGGTAGGGTTTTAACATGTTGATGTGGCACAGGCGTGTTTTCCTCCTGCGCTCTGGGTACTGAGAACATAATCTGTCTCAGACACTTTCCTCACTATGACGTACCGTCCCGCGAAACGGGACTCTTTAGCTAATGAGGTAGCACGTTGCCAACGATCCTTACATGTCTTTACAAAATCTGCCACGTTAGTTTTGGAACACCCCCACTAAGGAACCTCTCTTTCAACACCTTTAGCGGGCCCCACACCTCGCGGCCAAACACAAGTGTAGCTGGGCTGAACCCTAAGGATTCCTGCTTAACATTGCATATTGCAAACAGTACAAAGGGGACACCCTCATCCCAACTTCTGCCCGTGTCCTGGCAGTACTTTTTTTAGCATGGCCTTAAGTGTTTGGTGCCAACGCTCAAGTGCACCCTGCGACTCTGGGTGATAAGCACTAGACACAGAATGAGAGACGCCCAGGGAAGCTAAAGTCTGTTTGAATGCTCGAGATAAGAAGTTAGTTCCCTGGTCTGTTTGCACTGTTCTTGGAAGACCAAAGGTGGTGAAAAATTTGAATAGCGCCTTAGTAATGTTTGCAGTGGTGACCCTCCACAGAGGAATTGCTTCGGGGAACCGCGTGGACAAGCACATTATGGTTAACAAAAACTGATTGCCTGCTCGTGTTCTTGGCAACGGACCAACACAATCGACCAAAACATGCTCGAATGGCTCACCAACAGCAGGTATTAGACATAGTGGGGCGGGGGGCACAGTTTGGTTTGGTTTGCCCACCAGTTGACATGTATGACAAGTATTACAGTACTTCGCAACATCTGTCTTCATTGCCGGCCAGAAGAAGTGCTGCAGAATACGGTCATATTGTTTTAGTTATCCCCAAATGTCCTGACCATGAATGGTCATGGGCTAACTGTAGCACGTCCTGACGTAAACTAGTCGGGACCACTATCTGTTGGACTACACTCCAGTCCTCCCCTGGCTTTGAAGTCCACCTGCGCATTAGCAATCCATCAAAAACAACAAACGTCTGCTTCCTGTCTCCTGTCGGATGATCACTCTCATCTACGGCAGCAAAACATTTGGTTAACGACGGGTCTTCTTTCTGAGCGATAATAAGGGCCTCCCGTGTGAGGAGAGGGGGGGCTGCGGGTTCAGGAGCAGGAGCAGGCTCAGCCACTTCTTGAGCCAGTTCCTTGGCATCAGGACCCACCTCCTCCTCCTCGGAGGGCATCACATCCATCTCCAGCATAGAGCCGACCACTGACCCTGACAAGTCAACCACTTCTACACGCCGATGGGCCTGTGACCAGGTAAGAACACCTACGGGAAATACATCCGGGTGCTGCCGGTTTAAAACATCTGGCAAGGGGCTTGGGTCAGGGGTCTTTGTGACCTCTGGGGTAGGATAAACCTTCCCACCTGCAATGTCATTGCCCATTATGAAGTCCACACCATCAATCGGGAAACAAGGACACACAGCTACAGGAAAAACACTACTTATTAGGTCACTCTGCACCCAAATTCGATGGAGGGGGCTGGCACATAAGTCATCCCAACGCCCCTAACAATAACGTCAGTGCCGCTGGCGGTCTTTTCATCAAAGGCAAGGGCGCTAGCCAGTATGAGGGACTGTGAACCACCTGTGTCACGTAGAATGGTCACATTACGCCCACCTCCAGGCTTACCAGAGAGTGACACCGCTCCTTTGAAACTGAAGGGTTTAAAACATTCGTCAGGTGTTTCGGTGCTAGGTGGTCTGCTACCAGAAGAAGCGTTTTTAATCAGCCCTATCCCTTTTGGTTTACGTGGTGTTGAAACTGGCTGTCTTTGCCTGTAGGCCTCGCAATCCGCTATTAAATGGCCGGATTTAAAACAATAGAAACATTTCCGGTCTGACCTGGGACGAGGCACAGGCACCTCTCTCCTTGTGTCTTGCTCACCACTAGCACTGCTAGCCTTTGCTAGTATGTCGCGTCGCTCATGCTTAACAACACTGGTTTTATGGACGAGTGCGAACTCGTCAGCCAGGGTCGCGGTCTGCTGCAACGTAGAGACCTTCTGCTCGTTCAGATATACCGCCATCCGCTCGGTGACGCAATTTTTGAACTCCTCAATGAGAATCAATTCCCGTACCGAAGCTAGGTCTGCAGCTTTACAGGCCATACACCACCGATCAAAGAGGACACTCTTTTCTCTTGTGAAATCCAGGAAGGATTGACCCTGCACCTTTTTCAGCTCCCGAAATCGCTGCCTGTAAGCCTCAGGAACTAGTTCATAGGCTAACAGGATTGCACTTTTCAGTTTGTCGTAGTCCAAGCTGCATTCAGCGGACAACGAGGAACAAACTTCCTGCGCCTTGCCCACCAGCTTGCACTGTAGCAGGATGGCCCACGCATCCCGCGGCCAACGCAAGGCTGTCGCTATCCGCTCAAACGATTCAAAATAAATCTCCACCTCAGTGTCACGAAATGCAGGGACCAGACGACTATTCCGTCCTACATCAAACTGTACGTCTGTATGTGACAGCAAAGCCACCACAGGAGGGGTGGAGGCCTGCTGGAGTTCCAGCTGTCGCAGCTTGACCTTCATCTCCACCTCCACTTTCATCAGCTCAACCTCTCTAGCCCTAGCCAGTTCTGCGTCCAAACGCCTAAGCTCTATCTCCCTCTTCAGCTGGAACTCTCTCTCGCTCTGCTCCTTCTCCAGCTGGAGACGAGCTAGACGGACTTTGAGCCTAGCATCCTGCTTAGAACCCTCTGATGACTGGGTGGAGAGTGGATCAAAACGGGGCAGCGTCATTGGCCCCCCCTCGGGCAACCTCTGGTCCATAGGTGTAGACACTGCTGGTTCTACAACCTGGCCTCGAACGGGAGGCGCCGCACTTGGTCCAGCCGGACCGGGTATGCTCGGAGGTTCTTGCATTACAACCACCCTCTTCTCCAACAACCCGGACACCAGAGCGGCTTTCAGCTCGGCTTTGCGTAGACCAGTGGAGACACTGATCCCGTAATGTGTAGCCAGCTCATGCAGATCCCTCTTCCTACAAACATCTAGCAGGGCAAGCGACGGCTCTGCTGTAAACCCAGCAATATCAAAAGTGGCCATGAAAACCCAAAACGGCCTGCCAAAACACAAGCAAACCACTGAAAGGCCACACACACACACACACACACACACACACACACACACACAACGCCTTCACTACAGAACTACACACAGGCGAAAGAGAAATGTGTTGTGTCAAGTCAACCATTAATTGAAAATCTACCCACACTCCCCCCAGTCCTGCCTGCTCAGAATCTAGCCTGTCTTAGCTTCTGGAGCGTACCAGGCTCGAGGCCACTTTAAAGGCGAATCATCAAGCGCCAAAGGCACCGACAAGCCTACCCCCAACAGAGAATTAATCCCCACCCGGGTTTGCTCCGAAAATAAAAAAGGCAAAACAAAAAAACGAGTGTCCGAAGGAAGAGCAAATGCTCAGCTAGACCTTCACACAACACACAAACACCTATACGCACTTGTAATCAACCCAATTCCTTTCATTCCGATCCCGGACGAGCCCCCACTTTGTTACGTCCCCTCTTAAATGCTAGGCAATGAGGGTGGGGGGACAGTAACAGTTAGATCCAGGTGGAATGAAAAGAACGCCAGGCAGAGGTATTTAATATAAAATAGATCTTTATTATAACAAAACACCTCAATAATTATAAATGGTAACAACACAAGGAGACAGCACCGCTGCTTTAACGAGAAATCAGGGAGGTCAACCCAAAGTGGTAATGACCACTCAACAAAGAACGCAACAATAAGGCTTCAACAGAAAGAGACAGCAACGCTGCTAACAAACAATATCCAGGCAGGCCACACAAACTAATGAAGGCCGCCGTCACTCATGGGCAATCACTGCTCAGTTAAGCACTACTCACACACCAGAGCCACACACCAGAGGGCTGGTCACACGCAGCAGGCTGTTCCACACCTAAGTCAGTAGCACACTCTGACCAGCACAGAGGAAAACCACCAGACACCTCTCCTCCTCCTCCACACTGCTCTTCTCCAGCTTATATCACCCCTGAGGGTAATTGGTTGTAATGAGAGCAGATGAGCAGCAGGTGTGACCTAAAGGAGAGGGCAGGGGCAGAGAGAGACAAGGGGAGGGGCCAGAACGAAGGAGGAGGAGAGGGAGAAGACAACACCACGCCCACACATTCCCACAGCCTCCCAGGATGTAACAACTGTTATCTACTGCTAGCTAGTTTATTGTGATGGTGCTGTTTTTTTTATTATGTTGCTCTTTTTTGTTTGCTTTCTCTTCTGTTTTTTTTTCTCCATACAGGTGATCCAGGTGTTTTGTTTGTTTTTCTTTCTTTTCTTTCTTTTTTTTTCTCCCCCCCCCCCCCCCCCCCCCTTCTCACCGTCTCTTCTCCCCTTTGGTTTTCTTTCTCTCCCTCTCTTTCTTTCATTCTTTCTCCCTGTCCTATCCCCCAGTCATGTCTGTCCCGTTTGTAGCAACTGAAAATAAAATAAATTCATAATTATAATAAAGGTCAATCAAATGGACCAATATGGCAAGGCCATGATGATCCACTTGGTAAAATAAATCCGCTTGGCATCTTTCTTGGCCTTAAGACAACAATTCTGATGGCTAAAGATCCAAACGGGACACAAACCCCCCCCCCCCAAAAAAAAAAGGGAACATGAACCACTGTGAATCCACTTCAGCTGCTTTGGTGCAATGAAAGTGACGATTCCACAGACAGAAAGTTTCAGACAGCTCGTTTAAAGGAATCAGTTTCATCAAATAAATTAGAGGCTTTAGAAAAAACAACCTTTGATAAACATGAATATTAATATTTATGGTCCATTACAGCAAAACAAGCAAAGCAAAGTGTGACTAAAGGTGAGATTATCTCAGTGACTGTCAACAACAGATTATAAGAAATAAACTTGTGCTCACCAAACATGAAGCTGTCTCTCCAGTACAGATGATGCTGTCTGTGATCCCTGGATATCTGGCTTTGCACTCACTGTTTCCCACTATTGGTACTTTTGCCTCCTGCAGGTTATTGCTGATTACTAGTTGGAGAGAATTTAAACATCAGGCTTTTCTAAAGACTCCAACACAATGCTGTAAAATACAATAAACATTTTATGATTTACCAATGAAATTAAAGCCGATGGTCCAGCTGCTGCTCTCGTTGTTGAAGGTGCTGTTTTGTGAGGCTAAGCAGATCGGCTGAATGTAGTCTGTGAAATTGACAGGAGCCGACAGCTTCAGAAGACAAATGTCGTTCTCACGAGTCGACGAGTTGAATCCAGGATGGCAGGTGATGTTTACCACTGTGCGATTCACTTCATTCGGGCTTGGACCTGAGTGGCTGTTCCGGCCCAGATAGACCACCATGCTAATGGAGGCCGACGGGTAAAATCTGTTTTCCAAAGGTTGCATGAAAGTATCAGACAGGTCAGTGCAGGTTAAACTGGTTAGTTTACAACACTGTGGTGAAGGTTACAGAGGTGCTCTATGTTGGACTGGTGCAGAGCGTGGTCAGAGTGCATCAAGGTTAGCAGACATCAAAGCTTTACAGGGTGTGGATATCAGCCATAGAGCTCAAGTAACATCTGTTCACATGTTGTTGAACTGAGCAGTGACTGTGACGTGAGGTCAGCTGATCACAGCTGCACGCAAACAAAACAAACGACTTTTCCTCACTGAGTCTTTTCCCCACTTTGCATTGCTGCACCTGATCTTAGTTTCAGTGTTCATTGATGACCTCACAGAGGTAGTTGTATTTAATAGCAGCAGGTTTGCCATTTAAAGTTTTCATGCTAAGCTAACCATCTTATGACATCAATGGACAGAACGAGGTCAATATTTTCATTTGACAGCACAACTATGACAAATGAACTCTTCTAAAACACCATGAAATCTATGGAAGTACTTTATAGTCTTGGATGAGATGAAATCAATGTGGCATCTGGTTTGATTGTTGTGGAGACAACTCTGTACTTTGCAGTTCAGCTTGTTGTTTCTAAATGGCCTGTATTTGTACACATCCAGTCATTTACACACTGCTGATGGCAGCTACGTTGTAGCCACAGCCACCCTGGGGCGCACTGACAGAGGCGAGGCTGCCGGACACTGGCGCCACCGGGCCCTCTGATCAAATAATTCAACAATGTTCTCACAGTAAACTCACTACACTCACAAACATGACAACACGACGTGTCTGCACTGTGTCAACGACAGAACTGTTGGTATCAAATAAAGCGTGTGGATTACTGTGAACATGAAGCAGTGCAGTGACTGTGGCTGATGTGCTCTGTTTACATTCTAATATTAATATGATGCTGAATGACATCAGTACTAAACAGACTCTCTCCTTGTATCCAGGAGAAACATTTGGGTTAGAATAGTCGACATTTGAACCTCTAGTTCATTGCACACTTCTTCCACCCTGATATAATCTCAGTGAGAAAATATGAGAAAAATCTCACCTTTGCAGAAGAAAGTGATCAGCACACAAACTGCTGCAGAGCCATGGTTAACTGCAGCTGTTTCAGCTCATCTTAGACTTTAAATATCTGAAATGTATGTTGAGCTCCGCCTGTTAACAGTCATCAGGGCCCCACCAAAGAATCAGGTCAGACTCGTTGGTCCATGTGCTTCTTTGACTGCAGTTATGCACGACGCACGGAAGTTTGGAGCAGGTTCAATTTTATTTATACAGCAAAATCACAGCAACAGTCACCTCAAGGTGCTTTATGTTGTAAAGCAGACCCTGCAGTAGCAGGTGAAAGCAAATGGTAAATGGCCTGTATTTATATAGTGCTTTACTAGTCCCTAAGGACCCCAAAGCACTACATTCATTCACACATTCACACACTGGTGATGGCAGCTACATTGTAGCTGCCCTGGGGCGCACTGACAGAGGCGAGACTGCTGGCGCCACCGGGCCCTCTGACCACCACCAGCAGGCACAACGACCGAGACTGTCGGAGCTGGGGATCAAACCGGCAACCTTCCGATTACAGGACGAACTCCCAACTCTTGAGCCACGATCGCCCGTTTTTAAATGTTAAAAGAAGTGAGAAAACATTTAATAAATATCTCTAGTAATTATTTACTGCTCATAAATATTACACTTTCACCATCATATTATTCCTCAACAAAGCGTAAACTTGCAGCAGTAACTCACGTAGGTACATATGCAGTTGTCAGCACCCACTGGTCGTTGATCAGAGACCCTCCAAAAAAAAATTTGGACCCTCCAACAAAAAGGTTTATATCAGCGAACCAGGGCCAACTTCCTGGTGCTGCATCATGAGCTCCTGTGATGCTGCTGCTGTTCACAGCCCTGCTGCCACATGCTGAGAAAAGAAAAGACCGCACAGTTTAACAGCGAGTACACAGATCAGCACATGAAACCACTCAGAGACAGAGGTAACACTGATCAGTGCATCCTGAGCGCTGGCATTCATGTGGATGTTATTTTAAGAAGGATCTGAAGACTCTGGTGCACATGTGATCCACAGATCTTCCTCCTCTGTGTCACAAAAGTGGAAGATTTTACTGACAAAAGTATTTCACAGATGAAAGAAAGACCAAACGTCAGCGCACTGTGTCACTGAAACGAATGTGGAGATCACTGTGCACATGTTGTCATTACTGTACAGCTGACAGAAGGAACAAGGTTCACATGTCTTTGGATGCTTACCGGGCTGATCCAAATGACAACCTGAAAATGAGAAAACAGACAAATCTGTTAAACCGCTTCACAGAAAACATGTGAAAGTAAGCAGTGATGTTTTTTCCAACTTGAAGAACTGATCAGAAACTAAACAGGACATTTTTAGAGGACCCAGTTAATCTTTAGGTTTCCATGTGTTTAAAACAGCTAACAAGAAAACGTTTGCCTTATGAGCATGAGGAGGCCCAGCCTGGGGAACCTCACTGGAAACAGCCAGAAACTAGTTTGTGCTGTTTCCTTTGATACCGTTTCAGTTAGACGGTCACGCTGAGGACGACTTCCTCCTTCTAAATGAATTGAACACAGCTCTGCTGCAGAGTCACATGCCAAGTGACGCTGGGCAGGTCCTCTTAGAGATATAATTTAATGCACTTAATGTTGTAAATGATCAGACTGTCAACCAAACATATTAACCCCTAATTTATTAAGCAGTCACTAAAGTAATTAACTCTTTATCCTTTAGTTCTGGTTATTGTGACGTCTTACTGGTTGACTGAAACAGGTCAGTGCAGGCGACGAAGGCCGTGAGTTCGTCTAACTTGAGAACTGATCACATACTAAACAGAACATTTTAATGCTGACTGTTGTCAATAACCTACCAGTTCATCTTTGAGTCCCATTTCTTTGTTTTAAAGAAAGAAAACAACATCTTTGCAGAGACAAACTCAGAGTCACCTCTGTTGTTGCTTTGGGTGTCAAACGTTTAGCTCAAATAATTCACCGATGTACTCACAGTGTACTCACTACACTCACAAACATGACAACACCACATGTCTGCACTGTGTCAACGACAGAACTGTTGGTTGAGAAAATATGAGAAAAATCTCATCTTTGCAGAAGAAAGTGATCAGCACAGTGACGCAGCACACAAACTGCTGCAGAGCCATGGTTCACTGCAGCTGTTTCAGCTCATCTTAGACTTTAATTATGTCTAATGTATGTTGAGCTCCGCCTGTTAACAGTCATCAGGGCCCCACCAAAGAATCAGGTCAGACTCGTTGGTCTATGTGCTTTGCAATAGAGAGATCAAGTTCGCCAGCCCTGACTTGCTCCCTCCAGGCAGCTATGGAGCTGCCCAGCACAGTGTCCATAGAAAACTGAGTTAGCCGAGGGATGCTCAGAATGACAGCATCTACCGCGCTTAGCCCGTCCGCCATGGTCCTCAAATCCTTGGCCTGGGCAATGCGGTCAAGAAGCTTAATCATCCGCTCCATCTCAGCGTTAAACTCAAAGGCTGAAGACTCTGTGGGGTCCATCCGCGATCCTCTGTTATGTGACGGCTGTGTGCAGGCAGGAAAAGGACCCAAAGTGCAGACTCTGGACACAAACCTGAACTTAGACAGCTTTAACGCTGAACTCCAAAGGGTAACAAAACTGAGAATACAAAATAATCTCACGCAGACAGAACACACAGCAAGATGAGGGTAGATAAGGGTAGTCTAAGGAGCTTGGAAGAAAAGCGTCTGGACTTGTTCGCGGTCCGCGACACGGACACTTCTTCTTCTTCTTCTTCTTCTTCTTCTTCTTCTTCTCTCAAAAACGGAAAAATCTTGATAACATTTATCCCCTGACTCCTTCTGTACTAACCCTACAAGATCAAGCTTCATAGCAATGCTACTGAGATTTTGGACCAACCGTCTCCTCTATACCGTATATTTCTGACACTGCAAAATAACATGCTCCAAAGTTTCATCCTCTCCACAATAATCACATTTCCCCGAGGCATGCTTCCCTATCAAGAACAGTGTGGAATTCAAACCGTATGTCCAAATCTCAGTCTTGACACCACCACCTCCTCTCGCCTACTCCTTCTTGTGGCTCTCCTCACTCCCACCCCCTTTGGATTTTATATAACCACCTTCCCCTCCTGTCTTCTTCCCACGGTTTCTGCCATCTACCCCTCATTTCTAGCTTAATAATACTCTTTACTTCCTCCTGACCAAAATTCACCGCCAGACTAACTATCTCATGATTAGTGGCTGCCTTTGCTAACCTATCCGCTGCTTCATTCCCCTTACCCCAGTGAGCCGGGACCCATACAAACACTACTGACAGACCCATCATATGTATCCTGAAAAGAGTTTGCTGAACCTCTAATAAAATATCTGACCTACCTTTCGAGTGACCAGTCTGTATGTAGCCTGGTTAACTAAAATGGAAATTATTATTATTAATTTACTACTCGGCTACATGTAGACAAACCAAGGCTGCACTTGAATCTGAACAAATAATCGTTTTCAGCGGCCTCAAATCTTCCACCCACTGTACTGCTAATAGAATTGCTAACATTTCTCCTGTAAACACAGACAATCCATTAATAATTCTCTTCCCAATCTTTTCCATAAAGTCCAGAATTACTATTGCCACCCCCCACTTGACTAGCTATATATATCTGCACATACCCATAATACTGATCTATGAAACTCTGGGGGCAAATCAGGCCTAACGAGACAAAGGAAGCACAACCAGACATATTAACATGAGACACAGACTTTCAAAGTAAAACAGGAAACACAGACTGGACTTACAGACACAGACTCACAGGCAGGCACTGCAACAGAGGGAACAGAGACGTAAACCATAAGACAGAACTCTAACAAAGACACCAAAGACTAGAAACGATAAATAATGTAATAAACTCAAAACTCGGGTCAACGACCCAGGCACCCTAACAGTTTTAAACACTTCAGTGTTAATCGTTTTGTTTCAGTTGTTTGAACAAAGTCACTGTGTGAATATGTCAGCTGACATTCATTGTTGTATACAAACTGATATCCTGTGATTTATGCTTTAATCCTGTGATACAGTCAGTGTTGTTGGATAAACCCCAGCCTCTTAATCAAATGTTCACGCCTGGTTTCATTGATATCATATCCACCCAGAAATCTGGACTTCATCATTTTGGTAGCTTCCCTTCATTGGCTTCCTGTTAAATCCAGAATTGAATTCAAAATCCTGCTCCTCACATACAAGGTCTTAAATAATCAGGCCCCATCTTATGTTAATGACCTTGTAGTACCATATCACCCTATTAGAGCACTTCGCTCTCGCTCTGCAGGCCTACTTGTTGTTCCTAGAGTATTTAAAAGTAGAATGGGAGGCAGAGCCTTCAGTTTTCAGGCCCCTCTTCTGTGGAACCAGCTTCCAGTTTGGATTCAGGAGACAGACACTATCTCTACTTTCAAGATTAGGCTTCAAACTTTCCTTTTTGCTAAAGCATATAGTTAGGGCTGGACCAGGTGACCCTGAATCCTCCCTTAGTTATGCTGCAATAGATGTAGGCTGCCGGGGGATTCCCATGATGCATTGAGTTTTTCCTTTCCAGTCACCTTTCTCACTCACTATGTATTAACAGACCTCTCTGCATTGAATTATATCTGTTATTAACCTCTGTGTCTCTTCCACAGCATGTCTTTATCCTGTCTTCCTTCTCTCAGCCCAACCGGTCGCAGCAGATGGCCCCGCCCCTCCCTGAGCCTGGTTCTGCCGGAGGCAACTTTTGTTGTGATTTGGCGTTATATAAATAAAATTGAATTGAATTGAATTGAATTTTGCCCTGACATCATTATCTGAACATTAAAACTGCAGCAATGTTAAAATGAATCATGAAAGGACTTTGTTGGCTACAGAATATTAATTTTAAATATATGTTTACGTGATTAACTTTGACCAATTTGTTATCAACTGATTATGAGTTATTTTTTATATTCAGTATAAATCTAATTGTGTGGTGGGTCACAAATTTACTTATTAGGTAAAAATCATTCTCTTTTTTATTTTTATGACTTGTTATCTTATGTGCAGCACTTTGTGATTCTATCTAGAAAGGTGCTATATAATTAAAATTTTATTAATTAGTTTATTTATTTATTTATTTTTATCGGTGGCACAGTGGTTAGCACTGTTGCCGCACAGCAAGAAGGTCCTGAGTTCAATTCCAACATCAGGCCGGGGTCTTTCTGTGTGGAGTTTGCATGTTCTCCCCGTGTTTGTGGGTTCCCTTCAGGTACTCCGGCTTCCTCCCACCGTCCAAAGACATGCAGCCTGAACCAGATCTGAGAGTCCTCCAAAAAACAGTAAAAACCTGTGTTTGAAACATTAATGTAACTAACAGTTGTCTGGTTTTAAACTGGTTTCAGGTATGAACTGGTCTGTGAGTGAGAGTCCTGCTCTGACCTCGGGCCTTCCTCCTGTAGTAGATGAATCCAGCCAGAGATAAGATCAGACCCAGGATCAGTCCTGAGGCTCCGATGGCGAGCTTGTTCCTCTCTGACTCAGGCATGGACAAGTCTGAGGAGGGATCTGAGTCACACAGGTGAGAGTCAGACAGGTTAAACTGGTTAGTTTACAACACTGTGGTGAAGGTTACAGAGGTGCTCTATGTTGGACTGGTGCAGAGCGTGGTCAGAGTGCATCAAGGTTAGCAGACATCAAAGCTTTACAGGGTGTGGATATCAGCCATAGAGCTCATGTAACATCTGTTTACATGTTGTTGAACTGACTGTGACTGTGACGTGAGGTCAGCTGATCACAGCTGCACGCAAACAAAACAAACGACTTTTCCTCACTGAGTCTTTTCCCCACTTTGCATTGCTGCACCTGATCTTAGTTTCAGTGTTCATTGATGACCTCACAGAGGTAGTTGTAATTAATAGCAGGTTTGCCATTTAAAGTTTTCATGCTAAGCTAACCATCTTATGACATCAATGGACAGAACGAGGTCAATATTTTCATTTGACAGCACAACTATGACAAATGAACTCTTCTTTGGAAGTACTTTATAGTCTTGGATGAGATGAAATCAATGTGGCATCTGGTTTGATTGTTGTGGAGACAACTCTGTACTTTGCAGTTCAGCTTGTTGTTTCTAAATGGCCTGTATTTGTACACATCCAGTCATTTACACACTGCTGATGGCAGCTACGTTGTAGCCACAGCCACCCTGGGGCGCACTGACAGAGGCGAGGCTGCTGGCGCCACCGGGCCCTCTGACCACCACCAGTAGGCAACGGGTGAAGTGTCTCGCCCAAGGACACAACGACCGAGACTGTCGGAGCCGGGGCTCGAACCAGCAACCTTCTGATTACAAGACGAACTCCCAACTCTTGAGCCACGATCGCCTGTTTTTAAATGTTAAAAGAAGTGAGAAAACATTTAATAAATATCTCTAGTAATTATTTACTGCTCATAAATATTACACTTTCACCATCATATTATTCCTCAACAAAGCGTAAACTTGCAGCAGTAACTCACGTTGGTGCATATGCAGTTGTCAGCACCCAGTGGTCGTTGATCAGAGACCCTCCTAAAACACCACTGGACCCTCCAACAAAAAGGTTTATGACAGCGAACCAGGGCCAACTTCCTGGTGCTGCATCATGAGCTCCTGTGATGCTGCTGCTGTTCACAGCCCTGCTGCCACATGCTGAGAAAAGAAAAGACCGCACAGTTTAACAGCGAGTACACAGATCAGCACATGAAACCACTCAGAGACAGAGGTAACACTGATCAGTGCATCCTGAGCGCTGGCATTCATGTGGATGTTATTTTAAGAAGGATCTGAAGACTCTGGTGCACATGTGATCCACAGATGTTCCTCCTCTGTGTCAGAAAAGTGGAAGATTTTCCTGACAAAATCATTTCACAGATGAAAGAAAAACCAAACGTCAGCGCACTGTGTCACTGAAGCAAATGTGGAGATCACTGTGCACATGTTGTCATTACTGTACAGCTGACAGAAGGAACAAGGTTCACATGTCTTTGGATGCTTACCGGGCTGATCCAAATGACAACCTGAAAATGAGAAAACAGACAAATCTGTTAAACCGCTTCACAGAAAACATGTGAAAGTAAGCAGTGATGTTTTTTCCAACTTGAAGAACTGATCAGAAACTGAACAGGACATTTTTAGAGGACCCAGTTAATCTTTAGGTTTCCATGTGTTTAAAACAGCTAACAAGAAAACGTTTGCCTTATGAGCATGAGGAGGCCCAGCCTGGGGAGCCTTACTGGAAACAGCCAGAAACTAGTTTGTGCTGTTTCCTTTGATACCGTTTCAGTTAGACGATCACGCTGAGGACGACTTCCTCCTCCTAAATGAATCGAACACAGCTCTGCTGCAGAGTCACATGCCAGGTGACGCTGGGC